CCCCGCAACCGCTAAACCCCGCAACCCCGCTACCCCGCAGGGTACCCCCGCCACCGCACCACCGGCTCCGCAACCCCGACACAGATGCCCGCCAGCACATCCCCACCCCCGCGCTGCGGCAACCCCGCTCCCGCCAAGGGAGGTCCGCGCCCCTGGGGGGGACCCCGTGTCGGGGCATTTTTTGCAGGACACAAAAAATGCCAGGGGCTGCACGCTGGTGGTGCGCACCCCCCTCTGTTTTTTTTTGTTTTTTTTTTTGATTTTTTTTTTTTTTTTTTTTTCCCCATACAGGAGGCCTGGGTCCCGGGTGCCGACCCCCGGAACCCCGGAACCGCGGCGGGGTCCCGGGGCCGGGGGTCGACAACCTTGGGTCAAATGGAGTATAGTTTTTCAGGGAACAGGCAAGTGTCGTGGGAACCTCATGCCGAAGACATAATTCCGGAAGATCCTTAAGCAATGGAGTACCGCAAGTGTCTCCTTTTTAAACTGAGAGTAGTTCCTCTCAGTTGTATTAAGAGTTCGACTTTCAAACCTTAGCGGTCTCTCCTTTCCTTCAGCATCCGCCTGAATTAGGACTCCTCCCAAGAAAGTCGGTCCAGCGTCCGTCTCGATGATGAAAGGTTTTTCCTCAGTCCCTTCATAGTTTGGCGCCCCCCAATACTAATCCTCCTTCTACTAATTCCCCCTTCATCCGGGTCACTGCTTCTTCCTGATCTTCACCCCAAACCCATTCCTCATCCTGACGCACCAATTTCCTTAAATGCTCGGTCTTGGCGGCAAAGTCCTGCACAAAGCTCCTCTAGAATTTGCAGGCGCCAAGAAAACTTATCACATCCGTTATGGAGTGAAAAGGCACTGGTCACTGTAAGATTTTTATTTTTCTTTTTCACATCAAGCCTCCGACCGTTCTCGTTACAGACAAAACCCAGAATGGTAGCTTCTTTCATGCAGTGCTTGGATTTTGGACCACTCGCAGTAAGATGGTATTCCTCCAACAGGCTCAAGACCTGATCGAGGTCCTGGATATGCTTCCATACGAAACGCCTTACTCCGGGCATAACTTCGTCCTCCTCTTTCTCATGCGGGCCTTTGAACGCCAAGTCATCAATATAAGGCTGAGTGATGTGTGGGTTGACCGTCTGCATGACTCTGATCATATGTCGTTGCACCATCGCCACTGCATTAGTCCAACCTTGAGGGGCCACATTCATATGAATCAGCCCCCTTGGCGTGTGCATCGCTCTTACTGGCCTATCAGGCGGGTATACAGGAAACTGGTCATACCCAGAATAGAGGTCTATGAGTGAAATTATAGACCTCCCTGCGCACGATTCTGACAATGCATCCGCGTTTGACAAGCCTCCCACGTCTCGCACTGTCACCGCATTCAACCGTTGCAAGTCATGTACCCATCGCAGCGTCCCATTCGGCTTAATAAAGCAGAACCAAAGGGATGCATACGGTCCGTTAGAGTAGCCAGCAACATGCGTGCGCATCTTGCCATCTAAATAGTCCACCACCATCTTTTCCTCGTCAGGGTTCGGATATCACGCGCCCCTTAGATTCCAAGGTTCATGTGGGACGGTGTGGATCCGAATCATCGGGATCTTGTCCACATCCAGCCTTCCACGCTGATCATCATTAAAGGCGTACGAGCGGTGCCTCTTCGTTATCAACTGCACCATCAAGGCCTCCTCTTGGGATGAAAGGAAACTCGACTCTCCAACTATCAACTTCCCTTTATTTTCATCGTTGATACGACATGGACCATCCAGCGCCCGCTATCGCAAACGCCGTATCAACCCTCGTTCCCGCTCGTAGTAAGCCTCCTCGTCTTCTGTAACGAGCACTGGAACAGGGCGGCACTTCTCATCTACCGTCTTGTACCGCCTTTGGGCGCCCTGCTTAAGCCATCCCCTAAAAAAGGTCGGCTTGTTGTTTGTGCCTATGCCGTCGCAGGACCGCCTCTTCCTCTAGGAAGCCGATAGATCAACTCCATTTCCCCCACCTGAGGGCTTTCCAAGACTTGCTCCCTCAGCGCCTTGATCGCCTCTGGATCTGCCATCTCGTGTGCTGCCACTATCTCCATAGCCTTGTTTACATCTGTAAGGCTTAGCGACAGCACCTCCGCTCTTCCTTCTTCCTTGGGCTCTTCCCAAAGCCTCCGCCACTCATTCTCTGATTCCACAAAGGTGAATGAGTCGGGATTATGTCAATTTCTCTCACTCCCTGGCCCCGTGTTTCGGCAGGTGATAATTTCATAGTTCCCACAGGCAGGATCACTCAAGAGTAATATCATCGTTCCATCGTGCTTATTGAAGATTAAAGTCTCTGTCCTACACATGAACGATCTACCAAGGAGGATAGGGTGGTCAACGTCTGGCATGACGAAGAAGCAGAAGCAGATCCTCGCCCGCACCTTACCAATTTTTATGATTACATTGGATGTCGTGCCGCAAAAAACTGCCTTGCAGTTAGCTCCATGCAATATACCATGGTCCGCGCGGTCAATCTCCAATCCGAGCATGAGGGCATCCCTTTCTCTAATGATGCTCCTCTCGGCGCCCGTATCCATCATTGCAACACACTTCTTTTCTTTCACCACCAAATCCACCAACCCGCATGCCGCACACTTTCAGTCCATCCTTATTCCAATTTTTGTCCATCCTACCTCCCTTGGTAGGATCGCACTCAGATGGACGTTGGGCACTAACCTCCGAGATAACCGTCCCTTTAAACCATCTCGGAGCCTCGGGGCGGACGCCAGAATATCTTTTAGGTTCATAAGGTCGTTATGACCTTCGAGGAGCCTATCCACCATTCTCTCCATATCAAAGCCTTCTTGTAGCCTGACTGCATACTTCCTTTTTTTAGGCGTGCTGTCCTGCTGACCTGGCTCAACTTCCTCCTGGATCCCTCTCCTTTGGGCTCTTAATTCCGTCCGCTGATCCTCCTCTTGACGGAGCCTCTCGTCCTCTGTCTCATCATCCTCCTCTTCGTCTTCTTCCGGGACCTCTACCACTTCCTTCCTACGCTCTGGCTCCGCTCTCCTTCGAGGAGGTACCTGACTCGGCGCGTGACTAGGACCAACCTTACTTTGGCTCCTGGTTTGTGCTGCCTGCGGTGCCCACCCATGCGGGGTAGGTGGCCTAAACGTCATCCCTGACCTACGGCCCGACCCCATCGTCGCGACCCCGGGGTAGCCTTGCTGCCCTGACGCTGATCCCGGTCCGGACTCGTAAAGGAAGACTCTGGGGAGGTCGGCCTTCCATTCCTGGGCCTCATCACATAACTCCTTCAGCCTTTGATGGTATCTTCCCACCTTCTTCTCCAACAAGTCCTCCATTTTTTTCAGGATTGTTATGGCCGACGCCTCCACCTCCCTTAAGTCCTCGTCATCTGACTCAACGACTATCGACTCTTCCGTTATAGTTTCAACCTTTAGTCGTTGGGTCACTTCCTCACTCTCCCCCGTAACCTCTTCAATCCTCACGGGCGGGTCCTCCCTTTCTTGCCACAGTCTAAACATCACCGGAGACGCTGACCCAGCCGTTGCGCGCCTTTGGGCTTCTTGTCTAACTCCACCTGGAATCTTTGGGTCAATATACTGCCCAAATTTATCATATATATCCCCATCCATGTTTGTGAAGATTAGACCGGCAAGCTCATCGTCCCGCCGCTGCTGGCAAAATCGTATAGTGTGGCCCACAATGCCACAATGTCGGCAGACGACATTTCGCCAATCAAAGCGGGGCCTCCCATATCCCTGACCCCCTTCTTGACTGCCTTGGTTGCCTTGGCTCTGGCCTCCTTGGCCATTCCATCCGCTACCACGTCCCCCGCCGTTCCGTCCTCGGCAGCCACCCCCTTGACCTCCTTGTCCTCGACCACCATTGCCTTGTCCTCCTTGCCCTTGACCTCCTCTTCCCGCCACGCTAGCCTGCGAAGCTTGCTGCGAAAGGGGACGCTGGGCCGTGAACTGGCCTTGGGTCACTGGGAAACTTGGGGGCCCTGCACTCATCGATGGGCCCGGATATGGGACCAACTGTCCTGGGGGAGCTTGGCCTCCCCCACACGAGCTGCGGTGATCACATTTGGGCCAGCGTGCCAATTGACAATAAGGCATCCAAGGACCATATGCTGGCGGCGGCCCCATTTGTGAGGGCCCTGCCGACATATGTGCAGTGGCGGCGGCGGCTGGCGTCGCAACGATTGCCTGCGGGATCTGTCCCTTTCCAGAGCCCTGTCCCCCTAGCAGCAAATTGCACTGCTTGCCCTGGGCTTTGGTGAGAACTTGGGACCCTGTCTCCTCCTCGCCGTAGTCTTCCTGTCTGGTTTCTTCTTCCCCTACCTCCTTACTCCTGCCTTGGACTACGGTCACCACCTTTTTCTGTACCTCGGCGTCCTTGTCATAGCCCAGCTCCTCCAGTACATCCGTAACAATCCTCTTTACCCCTGGGTGTCCTGACGCAGTGGCGTCCCTTTCCTTTCTCTTCCTTCTTTGCAAGCGCATCTGATGTTGCTCTACCTGGTCCAGACTCCCATCCTCTACTCCCTTATCAATAGTGGCCCTGGTAAGTTTCGCACTGCCCCCTCCATGGCTTGTCAATTCGGAGGCCTCTGACGCTGTAAGCAGTCCCAGAAAGATGACACATTGTGCCTCTTCCGAGATCCCATGAACTTTCCTCGCCCTTTTCTTGAATTTTTGCACAAACGCCCCTATCGTAGTGAAATCGTCCTTGTTCATGGCCTCGAGGTCTGTGGTGGTCAGCAATCCATCGCCCAACCGATACTTGCGTTGCATGCCATCTCTGAACCTTGCCCTGCTACCGTGAGCGGCTTCCACAACCTTTCCTACTTCTTGATGATGCCCATGAAGTACGTATTTCAAATTTTGCTGGAACTTCACCTCATCTGACAGACCCACCATCGCTTTTTCCACCAGATCCAGCCAATCTGAGACGCTATCCCCACTGAAGTGGAAGGTATCAATTTTTGGGACATTGCTTGACGTCTTCTCATGCCTGTCAATGGCCGCAATAAGGTCCTCCAGTGTCAGGACCCTTTCCGCACCATCCACTATGTCACTGGGCTCCGACATCTTGACAGACGTCTCTTTTCGACTTCCTGTAAGAGAAAACAAAACACTCGTCTATTCAGTGTGTTATCCCAGCGAGATTTCTGCCGTATGTCCTACGTAGTTCCCCCAAGATGTCTATCTGAACTAGGTAGGGTTATCCCTCATAGTTCTTCTTGAGTTGGGCAAGCAACCAACCCGCTCAAGAGTCGCTAGATTTTTCTTATTCGTACTCAATCATATACAAACCATTCCCACTCTCTCATTTCCTTTTTCACTCTCATACCCGGATGTCGTTCCACCAGGGACAACGGTAGGTTTCCGTTATCCCATGCAACGGCGCCACCTGTCGAGCGCATCGGTCTGACACCACACAAGACAACGCGGGACCCTCCCGGCCGCGTCACGCAGGAGTTGGTCTAAGTCCTCGTCACGAAGATACATATGGAGCTCTCGCAAGCCGCTCCGGCCGAGTGCGCCAGCCATACCTCTCGCGAGCCCCTACGACAGGACAGACCCTACGCGAGGCACGACTTACATCCACCTTATGGGAGCTGTCACCTCCCTTCGGTGGTCGTATCCCTGCCGAGCTACCAGTCCACAATACGAAAGTTGATCAATTGCAATCGCAGAGGTGGACCAGCCGAGAGCGTTTTTCGTTCGCTGTAGCATAGGGGGTACGCGCGGTAGTACGCCTCTATCGAACCCGCACGTGAATCGGCATCTTGAGGGGGGCTGAGGTCCCAAGCACGACTCGTCGCTGGTCGACTAGGACGCATTCCACACGCCGCGCGCACACCACTATAAAGAGCATAAAAATAAAACACACACACACACTAGACGAAAATGCGACAACACTCCTAGTCCCTTAGCAGTCGTCCCATAACTCTCCGATGCGGAAATCGGATAGGCGTAGCACGCGGGACTTGGTATAAAGTCGCGTGGACGCAGGACTAACTCATATCGATTCGCAATGCAAGCGTACGCAAGCGGTCTCGATGATGGCATACCATGTAGTACCGATATTCATGAGGTCCTCGTTAGTCTCGAGGGTCGCATTCGACACTCAAGTGTCGGCTGACACGAGCCTTGAGGGTTAACCTCTCGACTCTGGACAACCGCCAAGTGCAGTTGAAGACCACACCCTCTTCTACACCCTGCAGAGAGTGGGTGGTACACAGGTTCATACCTGTGGTGGCAGTCGTCTCTTATGGCCTTGGAGACCAGCTCCTTCCCCTAGGGCCTGAAAACGAGTCGAGGGGTTTGACTTTGACGGCTGTCACGGACTACAACGTCCAACTGTAATAACTCAAAAAAAAAGCAAAAATAGGTCGAAGGCCCGCTTATCCCAAAATCACACTCTTAGGTAACCTTTTCGATTGGCACCAACGGCCTATACTGATCCTGAATACACATGTGTATGTACGAATCCCTTAATCCCATAACTCTAGACACTAGGGCGGCGAAACGTCGCGCGCAAGACTTTGATATAAAGTTGCGCGGTTGCAAGCCTTTCCTACATCAACCGACGATGTTAGTCATACGCGGTAATTGCAGTTTCGGCCTCACGATATTGAATGGCTGAAGGAATATATCGTGAGGGGTTACACTTCACAATATTGAACGGCTGAAGGACATGTCGTTCATCCCTCGTGGCACTTCTGCCCTCAGGGTTAGGTGTCTCAACGGGCAGGGCATATAGGCTCTACGCAGGGGAAATTTCCTTCCCTGCAGAGTCTAGGGCCTGGGATATCCTGGACAAGGACCTAGAATCCAGGCCCAGGACTAACGTCCGACTGAGAAATCCCTAAGAAGCATACAACAATATAAAAAGGGTTTTCTTTCCTCTCTCGACCCCAACCCTTATTTTTACCCTTACGCGAGGTTCACTTAGGCCACACGAACACTCAATATAATTATACATACATATATAGGGGGTAAGCACGTGACGATCACTTATCACATTCACAGTGGGACTCGTCATAACCATATGTATACGTGCGATCGCAGGTATTCAAACCCAAAATCCGAATCACAAAACATACTTGCAATCACATCAAAGAGTCAAACAAGAACTCATGCACTACAAGGAGTCAACCCCAACCACTCTCTATACTCATACCCCTCGTTTTATCCATGCAAGCCCCAGCCTCCTGTCCAACCAACCAAAATTAAGTACTCAGTATTTTCGTTAAATGGTCATTCAATAAAAGTCCGGGTGAAACCAAAACAATAAAATCACCAGGGCTAAAGCCTTTTAGGTTGAGTATTGCGGGTGAATTGTAATTGAGTCGTAAACCGACGAATCGGCAAACGACCTGTCCATGGGGAATAATCTTCATATCATGATCTCACTCGAATCATCCTATTTAACTAAGCCTAAGTCTACCTCTAAGCAAGTGCTAGAGAAAAAGTTAGACCTTTGGCAGAATCTCCTTTATATAGAGTGGATTGTCAAAACTGTCACCTGTCAAATATAATCTAACTCCTCTAAACTAAGAAAATTTCGGCAGCGCTTCTCGTAGAAAAGTGTCTTTTCAGAATTTATATAAGTCCAAACATGAAACAAAAACAGTCTCTGACTGTCCAAAGTCAAATTTTATCTAACTCCCTGAATTAGCAAAACTTTGGGCAGCACTCCCTTTAGAAAATGAGACTTCCCACAACTTTACTAAGCCATGCATGAACTTTAGACAAGTTGAACTTTGAAAAACCACAATTTAACTAACTCCTTGGATTTGCAGAAATTTCGACAGCGCTTCCCGTAGGAAAAGTGGCTTACCAAGATTTATACAACCCCAAGTACAATAAATGATTTCATAAAATGCAGAAATTGATCTAAGTAAAAAACACTGTCACAAAAAATCCAAGAATTGACGCTAACTCCTATCGCTCTAGCACATGGCGAGCTTCTAAAGCAACTACCTGTCTAACTAAAACTCAGACTAAGTAATGATTTCACTCAGTCAACATGCAAGCCAAACCACAAAGGTAAGTACTCTCACCAACCCAAGTTACCTTTGGCAAACAATAGTTCATAGTCCTTCAATGATTTAACCCATTATACCCTGCTTGAGTTTGGTCATTCATCTTAGAAACAATGCCAACTCTCTGCCTTACTTATACACGAACACGTTGCACAACTATTTTTCTCTTCATTGGGCATATGACTAAATTATTCGCCTTAGAAACAATGTTTAGTCGCTCTGAACAATTTAAATAGCCAAGTTATATATATATCTCTCTGAACTTAATCTTCAAAAGTGAGCGTAGGTCTGAGTCATTCATCTTAGAAACAATAATCAACCTGCCCAAGTTACCCTCAATTATAACTCTTAGTTATACTCTCTTCATTTGTGATAAGCTTATAGTCAGACCATTCGTTTTAGAAACAATGTCCTACTAGCCTTAGTCTCATACATATACATAGAACTATAGAGAACCATATTCCTTTGTTCTCGTTATAGTCTTGTGGCCTCAGACTTAGATCATTCATCTCAGAAACAATACCTAGTTCTTTGGCCTAAACCTCTCTCAGAATAAAACAATAAAAAAAAAAAGTTGAATCATTCGTCTTAGAAACAATGTTCAACTCGCTTTTCTTTCAGCACTTAAAAAAAAGGCAGAGTATCCTGGGTCAAGACCCAGAGACTGTTCAGAAACCACCTAAAATAAATAGCGACCAAACCATTCATCTTAGAAACAATGTCTGATCCTCAAAACTCAAGCAATCAATAACCCTCAAGCCAGACCATTCATCTTAGAAACAATGTCCGACACAATTAAATAATCACAGCGACCAAGCCATTCGTCTTAGAAACAATGCTTGGCCCTTCAGAAAACAGAACAAAACACAGTCGCTAGGCCATTCATCTTAGAAACAATGCCTGACCTTATAAGACTCGTTCAAACGCAAGCAAAACTGTCTTCCTCCCAACCCTCACCCTGATGCAACCCTTTGTTACAAACTGCTTTCAGACAAGCAAAGAAACTGAAACTGCCATTACACATACGTTCCTTTACTTAGTCTGATTTGTGTCCTGAAAGTCAAACTAAAAGTCAAAGTAGGGCTGCATACAATACACTCAGCCAATATATAGGGAGATGTATAGATAAGGGTTATAACTGGGTTTATAAGAGAAAGCAATGGTTACCTCTTGGTTCCCTGCCTCCAGAACTCCTCCCGAGTTCCGGCAGAGTTTCTGCAATCGGTGGGTTGACTCCCCACAGATTTTTGATGCGGACCTACTGGATGCAATCCCGCCTGCCGCCTTCCTTTCAGAACCAATAGACTAGACGTAGAGTAAGAAGGGCAGAAGAAGAAGATTAAGACTCTAAGATACAAGGAGGATGCTCTCAGACTCGCATGAGAGGGCCTGGATATCTCTGATCGCCTGAGGGCCCCGCAATGGTGGCCAAAACAGCAACAACTTGGTCAAACTTGAGTCAATCAGTTGAAGCCAACTCTCAGGCGACCCCCCCTTTTTTCCAATCCGCCTTACTTCTTCCACACTACTGGGACAATCTCCCTTACAGTCCAGTCACTTCCTTCACACCTCACTTTCCTCTCCCATGACGAGGCCGTAGTCATATGGTCCCCAAATAGTCATACTTATATCAGCGCAACAGTGAACAGTAAGGTTAGCAGCTGCTGTGGTAATCAACGCAGCCGGAGCGGGCAACAAAATGCCCAGCATGGACCATTAGAGGATGCTGTAGCTGCCAGGGCGCACAATGACGCGCAGCACCTCAGGCTCGCCACATCAGCAACAAGATGCAACATAGGACGCGCACCCCACAACAACATCAGTTATGGGTGAGCTCACAAACTCCCGGCTTACTTCCGACTGGCTCCTTCAACAACTCGAAGCCTCGCGGCCGCCCACTGACCCAGTACCTTACAACAACCCTCTCCCCTGCGTAACAACCACTGCAGTGCGACACAGCTCCAGTAGTAGAGCCTCAATAAAAAAGAAGTAGCGGCAGCAGGTAGCACGATAACTCTCCGATTCGGTTGTCCTGGCTCTCAACAGCAAGGAGCACAACGACCCCTCGTTCCGAGAGGTGAGTCCTCCTTCCCTCAATCTCCTTGTCTC